AGCACCGTGTCAGGCGGCGGCAAAGCCGACGGCGACGGAGGAGCGAAGAACAGGCGCGACGGCGGAGCTCCGCCAGCACCTCCAGCACCCGGAGCACCAGAAGCACCTGGACCAGCACCCTCCGCCGCAGCACCCCCCGAGTCGGCGACGTCAGCACCAGAGGCCCCAGCAGCGTCAGACCTCCCCTCGCCAGCACCTCCAGAACCAGCAGGACCACCGTGTCCAGAACCGTCAGCTCCAGCGTCGTCAGCTCCAGCGTCGTCAGCTCCAGCAGCTCCAGTACCGCCAGGAAGAGCACCCCCAGACGCAGCAACCCCAGGCTCCGTAGGCTCAGTAGCAGCACCCCCAGGCTCAGTACCCTCAGGCGCAGTACCCCCAGGCTCGGCACCCCCAGACTCCGTACACGCAGGCTCAGCACCCCCAGTCGTAGCACCCCCAGGCACAGTACCCTCAGCTCCAGCACCCGCAGTCCCAGCACTCCCAGGCCCAGCACCCGCAGGCTCAGCACCCCCAGGCTCAGCACTCCCAGCAGCACCACCTGCAGCAGCACCTGAGTCACCTGTGACCTCGACAGGCTCAGCGACGGGAGGAGGGTCTACCTGAGAGACACCTGAAGGAGCAGGACCCTGAGGGGGAAGGGGGTCTACCGGAGGGGGACCAGGAGCAAGGAAAAGCGGCGGGGGAGGGAGGGGGGCAGTGCGGTAGGGGAAGAGACGGTAAAAAGGGACCGACTCGTCAAAGGTGACGTCCTGAGAGGCGAAGACCCGGCGCGAGGTGGGGTGGTAAAACTGCCAGCCCGGCGCGTCAGGGACAAAGCCAAGGAAGACACAGGGAAGCGTGCGGGAGGAGAGCTTGTCCGCGGACGTATCGCGGACAAGGGCACGAGCACCCCACACCCGGAAGCGCGACGCATCGCCAACCTCCCCCGTCCAACGCAGTGTGGGCGAGGTCTCCGGCAAAGAGACACGGGGCCAGAGGTTGAGCTGATGCGCGGCGTACCGGACAGCAAACGGCCACAGAAAATGGGGAGCCGCCGCGTGGACCAAGGAGGTACGAGCGACCTCCATGACCAGGCCAATGCGGCTCTCAGCAACCCCATTCTGCTGTGGGGAGTCCGGAAGCGTGAAGGTCTGCTCGATGCCCTCCGCCTGACAGAAGGTCCTCAAGAGATCGGAGGAAAACTCACCACCTCTGTCAGAGTGCAGACGCAGGACAGGAAGATCCGTCCGGAAACGGCGGCGGAGCTGGAGACGAACTGTGCGGATCCAAGGGATCAGAACAGCAGGGACCTCACCCTTGGTGCGCAAGGGGAAGACCGTGGTGTAACGCGAGTAGTCGTTGACAACCAGCAAAAAGTACCGCTCACCGCCCTGGCCACGAACGCGGGCTGGGCCCCACACGTCCAGGTGGAGGGTCTGCAGAGGAGCCTCTGTCGGGGGGAACGAGGAGGAGTGAGGAGCGGCGCGCTGCCGCCCCTCGACGCAAGGAAGGCAAGGCGGCGCAGGCGAGGCAGGGAGGGGAGGGAGGGACCTGGGAAGACCAGACACAAGGCAGCGACGGTGCATGCCACGGAGGCGTGGCAAGGAGGGGTGACCCAGGCGGTGGTGCCAGAGAAGAGTCTGGTGCGACAGGGAACGACACTCACAGGCGTGGGCCACCAGACCTGACGCGGACACCTGACCGACAGCAGCAACCTGAGGAGACGCAGTGGTCAGTGTGTAGAGACTCGACCCCGGCCGACGGGTAAACGTAGCCAGGTGACGGCCGGTCCTGGAGCACGTGCAGATCGCCACACGCTGTCCTCCAGGGGTAAAGGTGTCAACCCACTGATCCTGGATGACAGCGTTGCTCACCAGGTTCGTCGAGAACGAGGGGAGGTGGAAACCCGACAACGAGCCAGACGGAACCGCCGGACAAGGGAGCACAGTGGTGGACTGGGCAAGGACTGGGCCCCCAGAGGGGTCAGCCAAGGAGACTGGGACCGGTGCAGGAAGCGGTGTGAGCTCAGTACTGTCACGAAAGAAACAGCGGGAAGCACCTGAGTCAAGGGTGAAGGTGTGACAGGCCTCAGCCGGTGCGGTACCTGAGAGAGCAGTCTCTGTGGGTGCTGTACCTGAGAGAGCAGACTCGCAAACAGCCGGGACAGCACTGGAGGGAGCAAGTACAGGGGGCACCATACCAGAGAGAGCAGACTCACTAGTACCCAGGGCAGCGGGCTCTATACCTGGGTCAGGCGGCACACACAAGTAACAGTCTCCCTCGGCACTAACAGTCAATGCATACATGGCAGCAATAATAGCATCATAGTCAAGAGCAAAGATATCAACACCAGCCCTCATGAGCTCAGCCCAGCGGGGGCGCTCAACATCCTCGCCCATCTCCTCACGCCAAGCGTCGTCAAGGCGGGAGAAGCAGCGGTACGGGGTGTGGAACCTCCCACACGTCTGTCCCTTGCGGTCACCTGTGCGAATGACATAGGAACAGCGGCCACTGCCCCCCGACGTCCCACGCTGAGCAAGCCACTCACGAAGCTGTTGGGTCGTCTGGGGACGCTGCTGCTGCTGGGAGCTCTGGCCCGAGCCAGTGCCTCCACTCCGACCTCCGCCGCCACCACTACCACCGCTCCGACCGCCACCGCCACCACCGCCACCGCCGCCACCGCCGCCGCCGCCACTACTGCCACTGCTTCCTCCGCCGCCCCCGCCTCCACCGCCGACCCCACTCCCACCAGCGCTCCCGCCACCGCTCCCTCCAGCACCGCCTCCCCCCCCACCTCCCCCACCTCCTCCCCCCCCAGCGCCACCCCCGCCACCCTTGCCCCCCTTGCCCTTGCCGGTGCGGCGCCTCCCACCAGGAGCAGAAGCAGCGCCAGCAGACTCAGCACCAAGGAAGTCAACAGCAGCAGCAGTAGCGTAGGAGGGAGCGAGGGGAGAGGGAGAACACCCCTCAAAGATGGGGGTGCGAGGAGCGCCACGAGCAGCACCGACAGCTACAATGCTCTTTTCGGCCGCTAGCAGCTGCTCCTCTAGGAGGGCGACTGTGAGCTCAGTGGGACAGCGAGCAAGGAAGTGGTCTCGAACTGAGCTGAGGGTGTCAGGGAGACGGGTGACTATGAAGTGGAGTGTCCAGTACAGTGGAGGGGGATTCTTAGCGCAGAACTCGGTGGGAAGGGCGGCACGCAGGCGAGCATCACTAGTGCGAAGGTGAGTGATAAGATCGGCGACTGTAGCAAAGGTGGACAGCTCAGGGAACAGGTACGGCAGCATGAGGCGGCTAAGCTCGGCTGTGGCAGGCGAGGAGTAGCGAGCAACGACAGCATCGTACAGGGCCTTAGCGGATTTGCAGTCGCCAAAATGCTCGAGCTCAGCTAGCGGCAGGTGACTGCGAATGGCTAGGCGAGCAGCTGCGTCACGAGTCTGCCAGTGGGAACGAACACTAAGCTCAGCTGTGGCAGGAGGGGCAGGTGCAGCACCAGACGCGTAATCATAGAGCGACACATGCTCCTTGCTATCGCTCAGAAGGAACAGCTGCAGGTCATCCAGCCAAGTGGCGAACTTCACAGGGCGGCCCTCAGCATCGAACGACAGCACGCGGATGGAAGCCATAGCGACAGTGCGACTGAGCAAAGGAAGCTGCCGCAGCGCTGCAGGTAGGTAGCTCGGCGGGAAGCGCGGCGGGCGGGCGACGCGGCGAGCGGGCAGTGCGGGGGGCGGGCTGCGAAGCGGGCAGCGCGGTGCTGCAGGCGGGAAGTGCGGCGGGCGGGCTGCGAAGCGGGCAGCGGGGCGGGCGGGCGACGCGGCGAGCGGGCAGCGCGGCGGGCGGGCTGCGAAGCGGGCAGCGGGCGGGCGGGCGACGCTGCAAGCGGGCAGCGGGCGGGCGGGCGACGCTGCAAGCGGGCAGCGAGGCGGGCGGGCGACGCTGCGAGCGGGCAGCGCGGCGGGCGGGCTGCGAAGCGGGCAGCGGGCGGGCGGGCGACGCTGCAAGCGGGCAGCGAGGCGGGCGGGCGACGCTGCGAGCGGGCAGCGCGGCGGGCGGGCGACGCTGCGAAGCGGGCAGCGGGCGGGCGGGCGACGCTGCAAGCGGGCAGCGGGCGGGCGGGCGGGCGACGCTGCGAGCGGGCAGCGCGGCGGGCGGGCTGCGAAACGGGCAGCGCGGTAGGCGGGCGACGCTGCGAGCGGGCGGCTCGGCGGGCGGGCGACGCTGCGAGGGGCGCGCGAGGGCGCTAACGAGAGGCGCACGAGGGCGCTAACAAGGGGGCGCGAGGGCGCTAGCGAGGGCGCGCGAGGGCGCTAACGAGAGGCGCGCGAGGGCGCTAACGAGGGCGCACGAGGGCGCTAACGAGGGCGCACGAGGGCGCTACGAGGCTAGGGCACGGGGTAGCGTGGTAACCGCATGCGAGCGGTGGTGGGCCCTTAAAAAAAAAAACGGTCGGTAGGTCCTAGGGACCTCCTGCTCTGAATACCATGTTAAAAGAACTAGGCAAGAATGGGTGCATTGAAAGAAACAGTTGGGTACAAGTAGCTAACCCTAGTTGGGTTTGTACCCTGTATTGGCTACCCCACTACAGCCTACCTACATATAAATAACACATTACAACTTAACAGAAGCGTGGAGTTGTGATGCATGTGATGTGAAGCATGGGAATGTGACGCGGCATCGTGAGGACGTTTCCCCTACAACAGAAATCGTGGCCGCTGCACAACGCGATTCATGTCTTTCCTGACTAGCCTCCTCACCATGCATGGACCTCATACCATACCTGCTCCTGTCACCATACCTGCTCCTGTCACCATACCTGCTCCTGTCACCATACCTGCTCCTGTCACCATACCTACTCCTGTCACCATACCTGCTCCTCTTCCTTTGGCAACCTCAAAGTGAAGTCACAACATGCCGAGCAGCTTATTAGAATTGGTGTACCTTAGGTTGCCACACCATAAGCACATCTCACTTTCACCATGCCTCACTATAAGCACGCCTCACTTTAAGCACGTCTCGCCTTAAGCCCCTCTCACCTTAAGCATGTCAGTTAGAAAGTTGGGTGCTGCTGCAGGTCGCGGCACTCCAAAGAGGCGGAAGGCAATGTCGTCTAGAAGCTGTGGGGGCGAGGAAAAAGCGGATTGAATGCACAGTTACAGGCAAGGAAGGTGGGAGATGGCTTTTGAGCCGACTCAAAAGGACGTGGCATATTAAAGATCCAGCAAAGGCAATGTGGTCCAGCAGCTGTGGGAGCGAGGCCAACACAGATAGATCTCGAATGCTCAATTTCAGTTAGGAGGTGGAGGTGTGAGGGTGGTCATAAGATGAGCGGAGAGATACAAATTTCAGGAGGTTCAGAAAAGGTTTAACAAAAGCGAGGGGTAGGGTGCAACAAGGGTTCCAGCGAATCAGTTCAGATGAGCAGTGGCAAGAGTGGATCGCAATGGTGGGGAAGCAGAGGGAAGGGGATAGGAATGCCCATGGGAGTGAAGGACGAGACCAAGACGGGAAGAGAAGGAGGGGAGCATGAGGGGAGCGTGAGGGAGAAGGAGGAGAGCGTGAGGGAGTGACGGCAGATGTCAGGAGAACGGGATTCCTAACGTGAGGAGGGAAGGCGTGAGGGAGAGAGGAGCGAAACTTCTGAAGGGACGTACAGGAGAGAAGGCGGGGTCGCGTTGGATGGTCGGCTCGTAGCGGCGGCGCAGATGAGACAGCAGTGGTGGCGCCCTGCGGTCAGCACTGCATGGTGGTGAGGGGATGAGGGGAGGGGAAGGGGGGAGAGGAGAGACTTGAGGGAAGGGGGGAGAGACTTGAGGGAAGGAGACGGCAGATGAGACAACAGCGATGGTGCCCTGTGATCAGCTTTGAGTGATGGTGCCGGGTTGGGGTGCGGGCGGGGAGGGAGAGTCTTGAGAGACTGGATGATCAGCTGCTGGCTTCAAGGATTCTAGTGATGGCATGGAATGAGGGCCGTTGCACCTCTGATTTACACTCAAAGCGGAATATGATAAGATGAGCTGAGACAGCGAGATGTGCAGGTGAAATGGTGGGAGCAGGTGGGTTGGTGGGAGCAGGTGGGGTGCTTGGAAAGGTTGGGATGGTGGGAGCAGGTGGGGTGGTGGGAGGGGTTGGTGGGGGTGGGAGTAGGTGGGGTGGTGGGAGGGGTTGGTGGGGGTGGGAGCAGGTGGAGCTGGTGGGGAGGGCTTACGCGGTGAGGAGGAGGTCAGTGAAGCGCAGGAGGGGAGACTCCTGCCACGCGCCAGCTGTAGCACCCGCACCGCCTGAGCCACCAGCACCATCGGCACCAGCAGCCGCAGCATCGTCAGCAGCATCAGCAGCTGCTCCCCAGATGCCTGCCTGCTGCGCTTTTAGCTCGTGCCACAGCTGCTTGCCCTGCTGCAGTCGCCCTGCTGCCAAGCACCTGTGAAAGGGGGGGCTCGGCCCAAAGGGTGTATCGACAAGGGATGCATGTCAGAGGGGGCCATGGCCAAGGAATGGCCTGAAGATTTGTTGCTACTGTCGCCCTGCTGCTGAACACCTGGGGAAAAGGCGGGCATGGGTGAGGCGAGTAAGGCGACAAGCCGAGCCATGTTATGGGGAAATGGGATGGATGGTGAGCTGTTATGCAGTGTCATTGCTTTGAGGGCTTCAGAAAGCGAGGAATATGGAGGGGCAAGAGGAGAAAGGGGAGGTGAGAGAATACGTGAAAGAGTCTGTATTGTGGTAGAATTCAATCTCTATCCACATGAAAGAATGAAAGAGGCATGGCAGACCCAAAACATGAGGTTATTCACAGCACAGCATCCATTTATGCTCTAGATTTTCCTTCAACTAGAAGAAATTGCATGGCAGTGCATGCCGGCCCGGTAGCCCACTCACTGACATGCTGATATCAAGTGAGGGAGTGGGAAAGCGGTGGTGCGAAGGACATGGACATCACTCATAGAGCCCTAAGCAAAAGAACCTTATTCGTTGACTAGAGAGGATATGATCGCACGAGACAGCACTTACTGAAGGACAGCCCTGGCAATGACGAGGTCCCTCTCGCCAGGGTAGCACTGCAGCACACACGCAGCGCAACGGAGGGAAGCATTCAGAGGGACACGGACGGAACATTTGGAGGGGCCTAAGAAGAAGGCCAAATGCCTTTTGCAAAGGCAGGAATCAGAGGAAAGGGACCGCAGGAGAATCTAAGAAAAACGGATAGTGGGAAGGAAGGGCGACAATGAACGCTGAAGATGGACGAAACATGGAGAACCCAGAAGCGTGGAGCCATTGATCAACCAAAAATCAAAGGCAGGATCTCATGATTGCATTGCAAGCTCTGTGCAGCACACACACACGCCCCCGGTTGCCATCGCAGAATGCTGCGTGCGAGGCACCTTCAGGCACACACCCCTGTTACTACCTGCTGTGCGTATTCTGCCAGGCTGTGAGCAAAGAGGGCTGGGTCGTCTGAGTAGACAAAGTGGAAGAATGCCGCTGCATAATCCTGCATGGGGGGGCAGGGAGCATGGGAGATGAGCGGATGGTGTGGTGGCGACAGAGATGGGATGGTGGAGGGACAAGTTTCTATGGTGGAGAGATATTGGGGTGGGGGGGAAGAGACACAAAGAGGGTAAAAGAAGAAATGGAAAAGGTCAGACCCTTTTGCGGGTAGGCAGCTCAGAAAAAGGCAGTGGGAAAGCACGAGATGGATGGGGACGAGGAGGTGGTACGGGGAGGAGGGGGGAGGGGAGAAAAAGAAAGTACCAACCCGTTTGTGTGGAGGCAGCTGGGAGGAGAGGCATTGGGCGAGCATGAGGTGAATGGCTGGGGAGCACAGAGAAGCCAGGGCGGAGGGCGAGGACGCTGTGGGCGACGAGGGCTTTGCTTGTGCCTGCGGGCTGGATGGGGCTGATAGCATCTCGGGGAACTGCGCGGACCATCTGGTGGGGGAAAGAAGGGGGACAGGGAGGGTGGAAGGAGGGGGAGGAGGGCAAGGAGGGTGTTGAACTAGCCTGGGGGCTGAATGGGGCAAAGAGCATTCAGGGTCTGGTCGGACAACCTGGTGAACCTTGATGGAAGTGGGAGCATTTAAGGGAACACGGCTGATTACCTAGTGAGGGGGAGAGAGAGAGGGGTGGATGAGAGGAGAATGTAAGGGCTAGACTACAATCACAACCTGTGCTGGTCTTGCACTTATAACACAGCGTAGTGTAACGGTGCTCTCATGGGTTGCATGTCACACACAAGATTCCAACATTACAGGCATTTGTACGCAATCACCCAAAAGATCCGATCTACCAGTTTGAGATTTGAGCCAACTCCACTGCTTGCAATCCCACTTTGAGAGCCACAAGTGTGGCTTCCTGCTCGCACCTCTTCCGTTTCACCAGGGAGCAAACCAGATGGGGCGAGGCGAGACTTCCATTTGTGAGACATAACCAACCAGGGGGACTTACTTGAGTGCAGCTCGTAGAAACCGCTTGCACCCATCAACTCTGAGCCTGGCCGCTTCCTCAGTTTCACCAGGAAGCAAACCCGATGGGGCGGTTGAGCGCGGGAAGCTGGTGTACACTGCGGTGATGCGCTCTGGAGGAGGGTAGGAAGAGAGGGGAGGGGACAAGGGGCGGATAGGCGAGAAAATTGGAGAGGACGAGGGAGTTGGAGCAGACAGTGTGGACGGTTGTGATGCACTGTGGCTGTGATGCACTGTGACTGTGATGCACTGTGGCTGTGATGCACTGTGACTGTGAAGCACTGTGGCTGTGATGCACTGTGGCTGTGATGCACTGTGACCGTGGGAAAGGAGGTTGATGAGATGGGAGGTCGCAGTGGCGGCAGATGAGTGGGGTGGGCAGTGATGCACATGTGCGCTCAGCAGCGTGGCACTCAGACCTCCCCCTCCCCCAGCGAGTCCTCCCAGCAGGGCGCCTTGGTAAAAGGCAGGAGCGCACTCATGCATGAAAGTCATACATGGAAGAATCAATGTAGCAGCCTGGTGGCTCACCCAGGGAATCCTCCCAGCAGGGTGTTTCAGTGGAGGAGAGTAAGTCCGTGAGCAGCAGAGCCAGCTCCACGCCGCTCGTCACCTGCCCGTGCTCGAGCTGCACACATGCGCCTGACTGCAGCAGTGCCATGGCGTCTTCGTACTTGAACTGCGAGGAGTACCTGTAACGAGGGCGAGGGGGCGCAAGAGAGGCATAACAACCGCCAGCTCATGTAACTGATTGCCAGTCCCCATCCGCACGCCCCTGACTGCAGCAGTGCCATGGCATTGGCATGTGGGATAAGCTGTTGGATGGGCACGCAAGGGAGATGAAGCACACAGAGGAGAGAGGGCGGAGTTGAAGTGCGGTGCGGGAAAATCACCACACCAACTGGTGCCTTCAAGCTTGATCTGCGAAAAGTTCCTGTGGGTGGGGGGGAGGAGAGAGTTGAGGGGCATGATCAGCACCAGCTGCTGCAGAAGCAGCGCCATGGCGTCTTTTTGCTTGAACTGCAAGGAGTACCTATGAAGAAGTGGGCAAGGGGGAAGAGTGTGGGGGTGGGCAAGAGGGGAAGAACCATCACCAGGTGCTCCAATTGCACGCATGTCAATGCAGCAGGTGCCATGGCGGCCTCATAGTTGAAACGCGAGGGATGAAATGCAAGGGAGAAGGGAGGTGGAAGGAGGCAAGGAGAGGGGCGCAAACAACCATCATCTCATTAGCCACTGCTGCACTGCAGCTGCATGCACGCGCCTGATGTGATCGGGCTGTTAGACTTGAGCATCCTACACCGCTGCTCTGGTAGCATACTTGTTTAAGCAGATTTTCTGTAAGAGGAAATCAACTTGCAGTGCATAAAATTGCAGAGAATCGTTGTAAGTCGAATCACCTTGTAGCGAGGCTCTTGTAGAGCTGCTGTGCTTCGTAGAACTCCCCATCCTTGACTCTCCGCGCTAACCGCTCCTGCACCTGCTGCCATGCACGAACGACATGCACGCCAGCCAGCATGCCATCACCACCATGCCATGCACATGCACATGCACATGCATATGCACATGCACATGCACATGCACATGCACATGCACATGCATATGCGCATGCACATGCACATGCACATGCATATGCACATGCACATGCACATGCATATGCACATGCATATGCACGCCAGGATGCCTCCATCCACATGCGACCCACACGCATCGACTCGACATACATGCACGCACACGCAGGTGAGAGGGATATGATCCTGCAGAGAGAGAGGAGCATATGGGAGAATGATTTCAACAGTGTACGACAATGAGGATGATTATAATGATTATCCACCTCTGATAGTCAGAGCTAGCTAGTTCTTGCCTTGCCAGTGCTGCTCGCCTTGCCAGTGCTGCTCGCCTTGCCAGTGCTGCTCGCCTTGCCAGTGCTGCTCGCCTTGCCATGCCATGGCCGCTTCTGTAAAGGCGGCGCGTGTCACTTGCCTTGCCAGTGCGGTCGCTGTCACCCCCCATGCCCCCCTGCCGCCCGCCGCCGTTTGTCCGTTCCCTGTTGCCTGCTGCCTGCTGCCTGCCGTCCACCGTCCGCCAACTGGCGCTGTGTGCCGTCTGTGCGGAGGTGCTGGGTGATGGGATGCCACGGAGGAGGGATAGGGGGTGGGAGTTTCGGAGAGATGAATCAAGCGAGAGGGACGGAAAGGAGTTAACGGGAGATGGTGAGGGGAGAGGGGAAGGGCGGGGATGAGAGGCTTTACTCTTGATTTTCGTCCACAGCTATCCACCTCTCGTCGTGCCTCTTCCTTTCACCGCCTTCTCCTCGCCTTCGGCCCACCAACACGGCAACACGGCTCACCAACTGCGATTCAATCCACTCGACCTTTGAGGCGCCTCAAAAGTCGCTAACGCGCCTCGCCATCTGCAGCCCTGACCTATCGGAGTCACTTTTGAAAAAATTCGAGGTTCTCTCCGTTCACACACACACTCTCTCTCCCTTCACCTCCCCGGGAGGCAGGCGCCCTCTCCCTCCGCTCAGAAGCCTTGCCTTACGCCGCGCCCCACCTTCCTCACTTTTCGACGATGCGCTCAGCGACCCTAGACGCCGTTTTTTGTCGCCTGTGACAGTTCGGGTGGCGCTCAAAATAGTGTTCGACGTGTAAGGGCTACCACGGCTTGTAAGGACGCGTCACATTTGACACACCGAAGGAGGATCCGGGTCGCGCACCGAAGCTGTGGGCATCCATCACCTTTGTGTCGCGATCCTCTTTAAGCTCGAGATTTAGCGGGGTTAGAAAAGTTATTGAAAGTTGTGAACACATTAAGTATGTTTTGAGTACGGTGATAGATCGATTTTAAAGAGACAACACGCTCGTTGACGTGTCTCGAGTTCTAGCGAACATTGGCGAAAACGAAGTGCAAGAGATAACGAAGTGATGGATACCCCACACATCGATCCCCGGCAGGGTTGATGTTCCAAATTTGACACGTCCTAAGGATGCTGCGAGTGGGAGTCCGAAACCTAAAATAAGCCTTCGGAATCCTCGGTGGTAACTGAACCGTTTGCAGGAAGCGATTTTAGAACAAGTTTCAAAAGCGCATATAACTACCACAAAACACAAAACATTTAACTACCACTACTATAAATGGCATCCACAGCATTTAACCACCACTATTGTTAGGCTGAAAAAAACAAACCATAAGATCGTTTAAGATTTAGTCTTAGTGAATTATTGCAGCGGAAGCTTCTGGACTCCTATACTACTCGGATGTGAGAAAAAATTGGAAAAAAAAGGAAAGTACAAGAGATTAATAGTCTAGCAAACTACCTTCTCAATAATGTACCTATTCACAAAACGATATATTTATCGAGTCGACTACTAAAGCGATACTTTTCTGTGTCACGTGAACAATCACGAAACTATTCGTGCTACTCCCTGTAACTCATGCGAATGGTTACATGCTACAGTAACATGCATATATAATGCTATTCCGATACTACTGTAGTGATCAAACCTGCTAAAATGCATAACTCTTTTGAATTTGCTTCAACACTCCTCTTCAATGATAAAGTTCGATGCTCTCGGTGTCATCGCTGTTGTGGCAAATGTCAGAATGAACGGACGGGAAGAAGCCATAGCTAGGGTTGACCTAGCTAGGCAAGTAAGAAATGAACAAAGGAGGGGTTGCACTAGTAAGAATGGGGATACAAATAGCAAACCCTAGAAGGGTTGTACTCGCTATAGAGCACCCCACTACAGGCTAGAGCATAATATTCTGACACACCCCCATAGCCAAAGTGGGGTGTAATCAACAGAGCAAGCAAAGCAGTACAAGCTCAGGGTGGATCACAATGTCACCACACATTCTGAGCACAAGTTCAAGAAGCAATAGTTTAAAGTTCACAATTATGAGCAAAGCTAGTGGTAGTCACAACGGGCAAGTGAGGAGGAGGAAAGAGACTATGAGAGGAGAGGAGGTAGTGGGCGGCAGCTGAAGCTGCTGGCACACGGCGCAACTGGAGCAACTGGCACACGGGCAACTGGAGCAACTGGCACACTGGCAACTGGAGCAACTGGCACACGGGCTACTGGAGTAACTGGCTCCGCGGCTGAAAGTAGCGGCAGACGAGCAACGGACTCACGGGCGACTGGAGCAACGGGCTCACGGGCGACTGGCGCAACGGGCTCACGGGCGACTGGCGCAACGGTCTCACGGGCGACTGGAGCTGCTGGCTTCACGGCGGCCACCCCCTTCAACCTCCCCAAACTATCCCACTCCCCCTGACACACACCCGCTGCTACACCGCTAGCTCCACTCCCCCTTCACCCCCCCTTAGTACCACTCCGACGGCTCCAACAGGTCCACCCCCCTCAGCGGCAGCTGCAGCACAGGGAGACGGAGGAGGAGGAGGAGCAGGGAACGGCACACAGAAGCTGCACCCCCATACCCCCCACCCCCAAACCCTAATCCAGGAGTACGGGCAGAAGGAGGGGTGGGGCGCCTTCAGAAGCACGGGGGACAGCGGGGAGGACAGGGGCAGCGAAGAACGGGCCGCCCACGGGTCTGGCACAGCCTCCCGAACCGCGCGCAGGCGGCCCGAGCCGCGCGCGGGCCTGGCGCAGCCCGTACGGGCCGCGCGCGGGCCTGGCGCAGCCCGTACGGGCCGCACGCCGGCTGTACGGGCCGCGCGCGGGCCGTACGCAGGGCGCGCAGGCCACGACGGGCGACGGGGGGCGACGCGCGGGTCCCCGTCGCCCGTCGCAGCGCCTCCCGGGAGCGACGCGCGGAGTGACGGGGCAGAAAACCGCCGCGCGCCCCGAGCGCGCGGCGGGAAGAAAAAACGCCGCGCGCCCGGAGCGCGCGGCAGGCAGGAAACAGCAGCGGAAGCATGATGGGGCCCACAGGCCAGGAGCATAATTTGCTCTGAAACCATGTCAGAGTGAGCAGCATGCAATGTCGGAACTCTAGTTGAGGCAATCGCTTGGTCAGATAATCCGCAACCATTTCACTAGTGGGGCAGTAGGTGACTTGTAACTTGCCTTGCTCAATTTCGTCGTTGAAGTAGAAGTAGCGTAGCGAGATGCGTTTCGTTCGGTTAGCAAAACCTAGCTTGTCCGCGATGCGGATCACGGACTGATTGTCGTAGAAGAGTGAGATCAGTAACTTATCTTCATTGAGTAACTCGCAAAGGTAAAGTCCTTCCTTTGTTGCGGAGGAGGCGACAATGAACTATGCGCCTGCTGACAAAAGCGCAATCAGTTTTTTCTTGCACAACTGCCAGGAGATTGTGCCAACAGTCTCCAGACGTCCCGTTCGTCAATGCTTGTTTGCAGTATCATCCACGTGATTTGCATCTACGTAGCCCAGTAATGACAACGGCGACTTAGGCAACTTGTGATAAGTTAGGCCGATCGTAAGTTTAGATACGAAGTAGGCGACTGCTCCTTCGAGTTCCTGTAGATTCTCCCCTTCGGGTCGCTTAATATATTAAGCGAGCTGGCCAGCAGAAAACGATAAGTTAGGGTTGTCAAATTTTGCATATGCTATATATGCCTAGGCTATATAGGGGTAGCCAATATGGGGTATAGCCCCTTTAGGGTTTCATATTTGTACCCAACCTTGTCCTAGTTCATTCATTCCTGCCTGTAGATTCTGACATGGTTTCAGAGCAGTAGGTCCGTTGGACCGTTTTTTTTTTCAGGCCCACCTACCGTTGCGGTTACTGAGCTGCCCCACGTCTTGCCTGCGCTGCGCCGCCCGCGCGCGCCCTGCCTTGCCTGCGCTGCGCTGCCCGCGCGCGCCTTGCCTTGCCTGCGCTGCGCTGCCCGCGAGCGCCCTGCCTAGCCTTCGCCACGTGATGCGCTGCGCGCGCCGTCCTGCAGCCTTCGCGCTGCCTGCTGCTGCCCCGCGTCGCGTTGCTCCGCGCACGCCCTGCCTTGCCCCGCATTGCGCAGCCCCGCGCACGCCCTGCCCTGCCCTGCGCCAGCGCCCTGCCCTGCGCCAGCGCCCTGCCCTGCGCCGGCGCCCTGCCCTGCGCCAGCGCCCTGCCCTGCGCCGGCGCCCTGCCCTGCGCCGGCGCCCTGCCCTGCGCCGGCGCCCTGCCCTGCGCCGGCGCCCTGCCCTGCGCCGGCGCCCTGCCCTGCGCCGGCGCCCTGCCCTGCGCCGGCGCCCTGCCCTGCGCCAGCGCCCTGCCCTGCGCCAGCGCCCTGCCCTGCGCCAGCGCCCTGCCCTGCGCCAGCGCCCTGCCCTATACGCGCTGCTGCCCTATGCGTCGCACCCTACGGCAGCCCGCGCGTCGCGCGCTGCTGCCCCGCGCGTCGCGCCCTACGGCAGCCCGCGCGTCGCGCGCTGCTGCCCCATGCGTCGCGCTCTACGGCAGCCCGCGCGTCGCGCGCTGCTGCCCCGCGCGTCGCGCCCTACGGCAGCCCGCGCGTCGCGCGCTGCTGGCCCGCGCGTCGCGCCCTACGGCAGCCCGCGCGTCGCGCGCTACTGCCCCGCGCGCAAAGCTCTGCTGCAGCCCGCGCG